TCACAGCACCGGGTGGGAGGCCTCCCTCCCTCCCTCCCTCCCTCCGTTCATTCTGGGAATGGTTTTTAAAGTAAAAATTAATACCTTTTTTTCACAGTAACGCATGCACGCTGTAAGGAACATCCCGGAACGCAGCAGGGCTGCGATTGGAAGTGGCCACTATGGGACACTTGGCCTCTCAAGGGCTTTAGTTCCCTGGTTGTGGCCGCCTCAGTGCAACGTGTCCCCCCCACCCCCGCCCCGCTTCTGCTGTCTCTGGTGGGTGGAGCCGGACACTCCTGGTCCACTGCCTGGAGGACGGCACCAGTCCCCAGCCCAGCCTGGCCTGGCCTGTCTTTGTGATCTAAATGCACGCATCTGTTCAGACCCTCTGCCCCAGGCCCTTCCCTGCCCCAACGGGCTTCCCAATCCTTGACCTTGACCTCTACTGTCCTCGGTTCTCTTCTGCTGGAACCGCCTGGCGTGCAGGGGCCGATCCAGGTGTCAGGATCACAGTGAACAAACCAGATTCCTACCTTGGCCATGGTGGGAGGCCGAGCTCTAGGTGTCTGGTGGCGAGGAAGCCTGTGAGCTTTACATCCGGCCAGAGAACGCCCGCGGTGGGGGCTGCTGAAGCCGTGGCAGGCCTAGGCCGGCCCTCGGGCCTGGCTGTGAGCGGGGTGCAGTGGCAGGGCTCAGGATCCACCTGTCCTGGGGCCCCAGAAAGGAGCGGAGGGTGGCAGGGGCAGGTGCCTTCCCATCAGGGCGCTGCCAGACGGTGCTCATGTCCCATTGGTTGGCCTCTGTCATGTGGCCACTCCTGGCTGCCCGGCGGGCGGGACGCAGCCTGTGTTGCTGACCTGCGGCCAGATTCACAGACACAGAGGACCAGCGAGCACTTCTCAGTATGAAAAGTACAAGTACTTCTAGTATAAGTACTTTTTAGTATACGCATGTCCCATGCAATATGGGACGTACTTAAATTAAAAATTATTGGTTTATCCAAAACTGAAGTTTAACTGGGCATCGTGTATTTTGTGGGCAGCCATGAACCCTTGCCCGGACTGGGGTTCCTGTTACCATAAATGATGGGGGCAGCCGAGGGTGGCCGTAGAAAGCGTCTTAGGGGAGCTGCCCTCTGGGAGGGAGTAGGGGCACAGCCCAGGCGGACGGGTGTGCAACCACAGGCAGAAGGGCCGGGGACACTGCTGTGTAGGGTCTGCCCAGCAGAGTCAGGCAGGAGGGCAGGGGGCAGCCTGAGGGACGGAGGCTTCTCGGAGCCCTGCGGGGTCTGGGCAAGCCCACGTCTATTGGAACGGGACGTTTCTGGCTGCTGGTTGAAGATGGACTCTGGTCAGGGGCAGAATCAGGGCCCGTGGGGATGTGGTGAAGCCATCAGAGCTGAAGAGGGCCCGGGGCTGGGCGGTGGCAGCGGGAACAGCAGTGAGAGGAGGAGCTGGGCTCCAGGTGTATCTGAAAGTAGAGCCAGTGGGAACTGCGGGTGTGTTTTTTTGAGAGAAAGGGATGAGGGGGTGAGGGGAAGAGGGATGGAGTTAGCAGAGAGGTCCAGGAGGCTACCGGACAGACACACCTGGGAAAGGGGCTGGAGAGAGTGAAGGCTGGGCCCCAAGTGCTGGCCGAGAGCCCTGTGGTGAGTGTGGACAGAGGAGTGATGTGCTGAGCGGGCAGGGGGATGGGAGACCCCCGAGGAGATGGGCTCTCATGAGACAGGAAGAGAACTGAGACTGGCCAGGGCTTAGGAAAGAAGTCAGCGTGTCTCACGCTCCTGACGTCAAGCAAGGCCCAAGCCTGGACCCCTGGGTCGGGCAGCCCTGGTCCTTGTCAGCCTTGCCAAGAGCAGGGTCGGTTGGGGCCAAGGCTGGACCCCTGGGTCGGGCAGCCCTGGTCCTCGTCAGCCTTGCCAAGAGCAGGGTCGGTCGGGGGCGGGGAAGGCCTGAAGGGCGTTGTCACTAGAGAAGTAGATAGGAGAGTCAGCACAGATGACTCTGGCAAAGTTTAGCCATGCGTGTGGTCAGGGCCCACGGCGTTCAGGTTCTGTTCTGGAGCTGCCATACTGCTTTCTGGCTGACTGGGTCGAGAGCATCTTCCATGCTGGGAATGCATTACCCTTGGGACGGCGTTTGTTTTCCCTAGCGATTGTGTCTGCCTTATTGTTCCCCTCGTCTGCTTCTGACGTTCTCTGGCAGTCAAGTCGTTCCCGTTACGTCCCCTCCCTGGCCTGTGCCCTTCTGCCCCCAGCCAGCTGGGCATTCCCACTGCCCACTGCCCACCTTGCACTCTTCTAGTTTGGAGCCACTGTTTCCTAGATTCCATGCCATCTTCTCCCTGTGGCATCCCTTCAGGTAGCTTCCTAGAAAACAGTGTGGTAAGTAAACTTTTCTGAGCTGGCCTGTCTGAAAGTACGTTATCTTCTGCTGGCACGTTCAACTCATAGCCCCTGCCACCCCAGGGCCTTTGTACATGCTGTCCCCTCTCCATGGGGTTCCCCCCTTGGCCTCCACCACCCACCTCACTCTTTAGCCCCTTATCCCAACACATTTTTCTTTGTCCCTAAGGGATACTGGAGTGTTGATCTCTGTTATTGGTTTATTTCCTGCCCCACCCCACCCCCTGGCTTGTAAAGTGCCAGGAGAACGAGCTTTGTTCTTTTCAGGGCGCAATAGAGGTAGGCATTCACCCAACATGTGTTGAAGGGAAGGATGGGGGGTGGGCCTTGGGCTCCTGGTGAGGAGGTGAGCGAGCGGCTTGGGTCCAGCGGCCGGCAGCTGCCCGCAGCAGGTGGGTCTTGGGAGCCTCGCTTCCTTCCTGCCCTCAGGAGGCTCTCAGAACTGCAGGGCCACTCAAGGTGCCGCACAGGTTCTAACCAGGAGTTTTTGTCTTTCGGTTGGGGAAATAGTGTTGATAATAACCTTTATTTTCTCGTTTCCTCCCCTTCGTGTTCTCTTGGAGGAGCTCCTGTTGGCTGCCTCTGATCTGGCCCTGGTTCCTTTTCCTTCCCACGCCTTGGCCCTCTGATCCACTCCCTCCTGCACTCCCACTGCCTCTGCCGTCCTTCCCAGTCCCTCCTCCCAGGCCCCGCTCGACCTTTCTGCCCGAGGGTCCCTTTCTTCAGCTGGGGTGGAGGGCTGTTTTGCTAAATGAACCGGCGCATGCTGGGCGCCACCTCCCCGCAGGAGCAGTGGAGGCCCAGGGCGCCCTCCCCACTCTGGCCTCTGGGATCTGGGGGCGGTGGTCTCGCTGCTGCGCCAAGGACCCCTGCCACCCCTGTCAGGGACCTGCGGGGCTCTGGCAGTGGTATCAGGCCAGGGAATCTCGGGGTGGTCGGTGCAGCCAAAGCGAGAGGAGTGGGCGGAATTCGGCGGGGCAGGGCGGGGGGGGGCACCCCGGCACTGGGAGGACAGACCAGACCCCTGACATCGCCCCCAGGTTTTCTGTAAAATGGGCTCCTGACGGCAGCACAGGGTGTGCTTCCCGGCTCTCCCACTCCGCCTGGGTCCCTGAGCACGTGGTGCCGCGAGGGGCAGTCCCCTTCCTGGCCTCTAGGTGACTGCAGCCACCTCCCTCGGCCCCAAACTGAGGCTCATCGGCGGGGCTTGGGGCCACCCCGTTGCCTGCACCTCTTCCCACTCAGGCCGCCCCCAACTCGCAGCCCCTTAAAGTCCAGGACCAAGACCTCCAAGAGCTCCCAGGTGGCCCTCCCTGGGGCCCAGCCCTGGCCCTTCCAAGCTGAGTCCGGCCCCTGCCCCCCACCTGGTGCTGGCACTCTCCAGGACCCTCTGGACCAGGGGCTGGACCACTGCCTCAAGGCCTCGGGGGCTCTCGGGGGCTTCTGGGGGCTGAAGCGTGAGGTCAGGCCACCTGGACGGGAGGGCGCCCCACAAGGTCAGGCTGAGTGGGACCCCGGGTCGCACCCTCCGTCTTTGGGCCCAGCTGTTGGGGGTGGAGGAGGGCTGGGGATTAGGTGGGGTGGGTAATAGCCGGCAGAGGCTGTGGCCCTGTAGGCACCGGGCCGCTCTGCTCTGAGGGACCCCTTCACACCTGGATCTGGGGTCAGGATGCTGCCCAAGAGCTCCTGGACAGCGGGCCTGGCTCTCTTCCCTCCTGGCCCGCATCAGGGAGCATGATGAGTTTCCTTCTGATCCCTGGCCTGGCACTCGAGCCCAGCCTCGCCTTCTTGGAAGCCCCTTGACCCCTGCAGGCCACCAGCTGCCATCACCGCCCCTCCCCCACCCCTTCTGGGTGTTTCCTTCTTGGACTCCTTGCATGCTGTCCTCTCTGCTCGGACATGCTTCCTGCCGTCTGGCTGGCCATCCTCAGGACGCCTCAGAGCCTAGTCCCGCTGTGTCCGGTCAGTGTCACTCGGCCCCCAGGCAGCACGTGCCTAGGCAGCACGTGGAGGGTTTCTGAATGGATGGATGAGTGTCTCTGAGATTTTCCGTGATCCCCCTTGGAAGGTCACAATCCGGGCCCAGACAAATCCTGGCATCTCTGAAGCACAGCGTGGGGGTGACTTCCCAGCTTGGCTGGCCCTCCCCCTACGACTTAGCGCTCGGGTCCGGCCTGTGGCCCAGATCAGCTCCTGGGTCCGGGGTCCTCCCTCTTCTCACTCCGCCTGGGTCCCTCAGCGTGACGCCGCGAGGGGTAGTCCCTTTCCTGTCCTCTAGGTGACCATAGTTGCCTCGCTGGGCCCCAACGGGGGATGAGGGTCCTCAGACCTGGACCCCTAAGCCTCATCTCCACCTGCGCGGGTATGAACTCATCTCCAGGCTGCCCTGTGGGGGTCACCTGCGGAGAACTGAGGCGACGCAGGAAAGGGGATTCTGAGATGCAGGGGGCTGGGTTCGTAAAGTACAGGGGGCGGGCCTGGGACTACCCGTCCTCCCGCTTCCACCTTCCCCCTCGCCCCCGGCCCGCAGCTTCAGCGGGGCTCGCAGGGACCCGGAGCACGCGCCGAGAGCCCCCCCTGCACCTGCACCGAGATCGTGGGGCGCATGCGCGGACCGAGGAGGGCGGGGGCCGAGCCGGGATGGGTCCTGTGGGTCCCGCATCCCCGCGCCGGCGGTGGGGATCCGGTATCCGAGTGGGGCGTACTGCGCTGCGCTGGGACGCGCTGGGCTGCGGGCGACGTGGGCATCAGACCCTTCTCTGACCGCGTCCCCACGCCTGCAGCCCGTGCGGCGCCGGGCGCAGATTCCCAGGGGCGCCGGCCCGGGGAAGCCGGGGCGCCCCCTCCCCAGGACCCCGGCCAGGCGCCGCGTTCAGACAAAGGGGCGGGAGATGGAGATGGAGATGCTTCCGTGACAGCGCCCGGCGGCCGAGGAGGAGGACGAGGAGGAGGACGAGGGCTGCGGGCTCCGGTGGCGCGGCCCCAGGTCCGGGCGCTCACAGGCCCTCGCTGAGCGGCGGCGGCGCGGGGACGCAGGGGCCAGGCGGGAGGCGCCCAACCCGGAGCCCGCGGAGCGCCCGTTCCGGGCCGGGACCCCGGCCGCACGCTCGCTCGTTCGTCCCCGGCCACCTCGCGGGGCTCGGCCGCTCCGTCGCGCCCCGGGCCGCCCGCGCCGCCCCCTCCCGGCCGCCGCGCAGCGCCCAAGTGTGCCATCGGGCGGGCGCGGAGGCGGCGTCTGCTCCCACCCTCGAGATCACATGGTGACCCTCGGCAGCCAATGCAGTGGACGCTAGGACCCTGCGGGACCCCGGGCGCCGCGACTGCACCGGCGCCGCTGCATTATAAATACTTCTCCAAAATGCGGCGTAGCTCCCTGCGCGCGCCCCGGCCGCCCGCCGCCTCCGCCCCGCGCTCCTGAACAGCCGCCGCCGCCGCCGCTGCCGCCGCCGCCGCGGGTCCGAGGGCGCCGCGCCCTTGCCCTGGGCCCGGGCTGAGCCCGCTCGCAGCCCGGCCCGCGTCCCTGCGCTGCGCCGCCCGGCCGGGTGCATGCATTGTGGGCCTCCCGACATGGTCTGCGAGACGAAGATCGTGGCCGCCGAGGACCATGAGGCGCTGCCGGGGGCCAAGAAGGACGCGCTGCTCGCCGCCGCCGGCGCCATGTGGCCCCCGCTGCCCGCCGCTCCTGGGCCGGCCGCCGCCCCCGCCGCTCCCCCGCCCGCGCCGGGCCCCCAGCCCCTCGGCGGCGCGGGGGGCGCGGAGCCTGCGGGGGGCGCGGAGCCTCCGGAGGGGCGCGGCGTGTACATCCGCGAGATCCGCGCGGCGGAGCAGGAGGCGGCGCGCCGCATCTTCTACGACGGCATCATGGAGCGCATCCCCAACACGGCCTTCCGCGGCCTGCGGCACCACCCGCGCACGCAGCTGCTCTACGCCCTGCTGGCCGGTCAGTGCGCGGGGACCCCGCGGGGAAGGCGGGGTCGGGGCCGCGGCCGGCCGGGCGCACCCCCGCCTGCCGCAGTCTGCGCCCGCCCGGCCCTCTGGGGACGCGCGCGGGACTTCCTCCGGCCCGCTAGCCCCCGCCTCGGGCCCGGGCCTCGTCCTGGGACGGAAGCGGACCCCCGCCCCCCCTCGTACGCGCGCGGACACGCACCCGCGCGTTCTGCGGAGGCCCGGGGCGAGGTGGCCCCCAGCGCTGGGGCCGGCCCGGGCTCGCGGCCAAGGCGCGCCAGGCTGGGGCGTGGGAACCAGTGCGGGCCGGGTACAGGGGCTGCGAGCGGGGAACTGGGGTCTCCATCTGCGTCCCCTTCCTGGTCATCCCGGTGGGGGCGGGGTGACGGCAGGTAGCGCCCGCTGCCGAGGCCCAGCGCCTGGCGCGTGTAACTATATATAATTCGCGGGGCGGGGGAGGCTGCCTCGGCGGCTCTGAGCGCTAATTTATGAGGGGAAGACAGCCGGCTCCCTGGGGTTCCGGGGGAGGGTGTGCGCCGAGGATGCAGAGCGAGGGGGCAGTGGGCCCTCACGGTGGGCGGCCCCGACAGGGGCCTTGGGGCTTTGCCCCTTTAGGCTCTGCCGCGGGAGGGTGGTTCTCCCCATTTCAGAGGTGAGGAGCTTGAGGCTGCGGGGTGGGACTTTCCCAAGGTCACGCAGCAGAGGCACTTTCGCTGCAGGCACGTCTGCATCTCGGTAGCCTAGGCTGGAAGCAGTTTCCCCCCGGCCCCTGTCCTCGCAGCACCCAGAGGCTGGCCCAGGGAGGGCTCTTGGCTGGGGCCCTCCTGCTGGAAGGCGGGGCCACCACTTCCCAAGGGTGGGACGGCCTGCAGATGCCTGGCCAGGCAGCTCTTTGGCCCCCTCCCCCGCCCCGCCCCGTGTGGGCCAGGCTGTGGACAGAGCCCCTTCCCCAGCTAGCGGGCCGGGGCGATGGGCAGGGGCCACCCCTCAGTAGCCCTGTCCTGGGCTGTGCCCGCCAGCTATTGAGGGCAGCCTGCCCAGAGGCCACTGCGGTGCTCAGCGTATTAAGAAATCCTATGATGTCAGGTTATAAAGGTAACGTGTCCTATGGTGAGAAGTTTGATAATAGGGAAAAGTAGAAGGAGCAGCTGCGATGTTCTTTGCTCTTCCGGAGAAAACAGGCCTGGCGTATTTGGCATGGTCTCTCCTCTGCGCATGTCCCTAACTGGCTTACTTACCAGGGGCTGGTGGGCCTGGGTCCGTCTCCCCCGCGCTGGTCTGCGGGGCTGTCCCCACAGGCTCTGCGCCACCGACCACTCACCGGGCGCCACCTCTCCCCGCAGCGCTCTGTTTTGCCCTGACCCGCTCGCTGCTGCTGACGTGCCTGGTGCCAGCAGGGCTGCTGGGCCTGCGCTATTACTACAGCCGGAAGGTGGTCCTCGCCTACCTGGACTGCGCGCTACACACAGACATGGCCGACATTGAGCAGTATTACATGAAGCCCCCTGGTGAGTCCCGGGGGTCTCTGGACGACTCCTCCCTCCTCCCCCCTCCTGCCCTCCTCCCCAGCCTTTCCTGCTGGCAGAGCTGCCCCCAGCGCAGGGGCGGGCCTGGGGCAGGGGCTGGGCACAGGTCAGCCTGGGCTGGGGCACCCCCGTGACTCGAGGCTTCTGGGTGCCCAAGGGCTCTGGCCGCAGGCTGGCAGGCGCTGGGGTTGGCAGGACTAGGCCCTCTGCCCTGAGTATGGCCGGGCTTCTGAGGGCAGGGCTCTGAGTGGCCTGAGCTGGCCCTGGGCCATGGGGTCCTGGCCCCCCTGTTTGTGCTGCCCTGGTGCTTCATGGGGGAAAGGGGGTCTTTCTCACCTCTCTCCGGTCCCGTTTGGCTGCCTTGTTGGATCCTGGGCCGGCCTGGAATGCTAGGGCCCTGTGTGGCAGAGGGCCACATGGTGGGGAGAGGGCAGAGGTCACTCTGGGGCAATGAGGACCCTAGGAGAACAGGGGTCCCACTTCTGGTCTCTGGGCCACTTAGTAAACCCAGAGTCTCGCCCCGGCCCTGGCCTTCTGTAGAGGGAGGGGCTGGGGCCTGGTTTGCAGCCATTCTTTAGTCTCCAGGCTGGCCTTGAGGCAGGGTGGGTCCTGGGAGGCAGGGTCCTGCTTTTCTCCATGCCTGGAGCTGGGGCATGAGGGCCTTCCAGGTGCAGGAAGGTCCCTGAGGAGAGGGACAGAGTGCGCCTGGTTGGTTAGGGTCTAGCAGCATCCTGGTGGGTGCCAGGGAAGAGCAGTGGGGACAAGAGAGGCAAGGCGTCCCGGAGCAGCGGTGACATGCTCTGGCCCGGCCAGCTCCTGCGCGCTGGTGGCTGGTCCTTTCCCCGCCCCGAGGCTGCCTGGCTGGCCTTGGGCACCTTTGGCTCTCCTTGACCCTTTCCCAAGCCCAAACAAAGCATCTTATCAGCCTCCATGGAGCTCTGGCTTCAGCTTGGCTCCCCCCAGGACGGGAGGGGACAGAAGCGTGAGACCCACCTGGCACCAAAGCCCAGGCCGCAGGAGCAGAAGAGGGGTTGGGGCCCAGCGTGGCCCTGCCCTCATTGGAGTGCAGTGTCCTTGGGTGTGAGATGGGGGGCTGGGCCCTGCTCGCCCCTCCTGAGATGTCTGGTGGGTGTGCAGGAAGATCCCACAGGGCCAGAGAGGCTGGACAGCGGCTGGTGGGGCCGTGCTGGACTTGTGGGAGCTGCTCCCGCAATGGGGGAACCAAGGCCTGGGGAGGCACGAGGCTCCCAGGACTGTGCTGACCTCTGACCTGGGCCCGGGCAGGTGGGGAGAGCCTGAAATCCTGGACAGTGGGCAGGTCAGCCAGTGGAGGGGGCGGTCAGCTCCTTCCCAAGCTCGGGCCACGTGCCCGGTCTCAGTCTTGGGGTCTGACGGTGAAGGAGACAGGAGACTGCCCGGCAGAGCTGACGGGCTGCTGGGGGCCGCGTTGGCAGATGTGGTAGTGGGGGACCCCCAGGCGTAGGGCGGGGGTCCGGGGAAGGAGCGTTAGCGGGGGAGGGTTTGGCCACTGCAGGAGGGAGGCTGGGGCGGGGGCCTGGGGGGTGGCTGGCGGGAGGACACGGCAGTGGAGGCTGGCGTGGCCGTGGGTAGGGCGTGTGCAGGCTGGGCTCCTCGGAGCAGGCACTGCCCCCTGGCCTTGCCTCCTGTAGCCCCTGGGCCCCCAGAGGAGATGGCTCTCCCCATGGCCTGTGCCCTGCAGGCCTCTCCCCTCTGGTCTTCACTCCTCTGTCCCTCTTGCTCCCTCATCTCCCTGAGGTCTTCCCCCTCCTCCTCCTGCCCTGCGTGGGGCCGCGATTGGTCTGGGCCGGGGGTGGGGACGGCTGGCCTCAGCACAGGGCTGGCTGCCCAGCCTCAGGCCCAGGGTCAGGGAGGCTCCAGGGCTGCCGCGGGCAGCAGGCAGATTGGGCCTGGCTCCCTCTGCCGGGGTGGCTGTATCATGCAGTAGCGCCAGTGGCCCTGACCGCCCCGTTCCCCACAGGCTCCTGCTTCTGGGTGGCCGTGTTGGATGGCAACGTGGTGGGCATTGTGGCAGCGCGGGCCCACGCGGCGGACAACACGGTGGAGCTGCTACGCATGTCGGTGGACTCACGCTTCCGTGGCAAGGGCATCGCCAAGGCACTGGGCCGTAAGGTGCTGGAGTTCGCCCTGGTGCACAACTACTCTGCAGTAGTGTTAGGCACGACAGCCGTCAAGGTGGCCGCCCACAAGCTCTACGAGTCGCTGGGCTTCAGGCACATGGGCTCAAGTGACCGCTACGTGATGCCTGGCATGACCCTCTCGCTGGCCGAGCGCCTCTTCTTCCAGGTCCGCTACCACCGCTACCGCCTGCAGCTGCGCGAGGAGTGACCGCCACCCACCTGCCCGCTGCCCCGCCCACCGCTCCGTCCGCCTGTGCCCTCCTGCCCGCCGCCCGGGCCGCTTTCAGACGCTCACCTTGGCGTTTGTGTTGGGTTTTTCCTTTTTTGGCACCACACGGTTCTTTGGCTGGTTCTTTGGGGGGGGTGCGGGGCCTTTGCTCATCCGTGACACTTGGGGAGGTGGGTTGTTGCCAGCCACACCCCTTGCCCTCCCCAGTCTGCTGGGGCCGCATCCTGAAGAGTGACAGCGTGGACCACCGCGAGCCCACGCGGCTGCCCGGCCCTGGCGCGAGGGGCCCCTTCCAGCCCACCCCCGGGGTAGGGGCGGGCCCAGCCTTGCCCACCAAGCACAGAGCCTCTGTAGTGAGGCCCCCGCCCGGCAGACCCCTGGCCGCCAGCCAGGCGGTGGCTCAGCCATCAGTCCCCAGCAGGTGTGGCCCGCTGCACCGGCCGGCCACTGCCCCACGGGGCGCTGAGCTGGCTGCGGGCCTGCTTTGCTCTGTGCATGCTGAGGCTGTGGCCTGGCTGCAGCATGCCGCATGCCCACAGCCTCCCGCCCCCTGCCCTGCCTGGACTGGACCCAGACTGGTGAGCGCCCCCAGCCCCAGCCCAGCCTCTTGGGAGGCCTGACTGTCCACCTTGCCCCTTGCTTCACCCAGTTCAGCTTTGCTTTGACATCGGATCACCTGTCTTTCCTTTTGGTACCTGCCCCTCCTCCGCCCGGGCTTTGCCGATGGGTGGCATCGCCCAGGTGTGGTTCCCATGGCAACATGTTGTACAGCCGTGGTCAGGGCCCTTCAGGAGAGCAGGGTAGGAGGCAGTCATGGGGTCATCTCTCCCCCAGTGCCAACTTGATCCCGGTGGCCTCCCCCAGACCTCCCTGAGGACCTCCTGCCTTGCGGCTGACGGGCTCTGTCCTGTGAATCTTACCAACCCAGGCTGCTGCCTGCACCACCGAGCCCGCAGCTTCTCCCAGCCTGAAGCCGACCTATTTTTTAATAAGTTATTTAGACAGAATAGCACTCTGCATGACTTTAATTCTTGGGACAAAACGGTAGTTTATACCTTCACACACACACACACACACACACACACACACACCTGTGTGGTCTAGAATGCACTATTTCTGGCCCAGTTGGGTGGGGGTGGGTGGCCGGGTGGGTGGAGGGTTTCAGTTTGGAATCTGGAGGGAGACCCTGACTTAACATAATTTCTCCCCAAAGAGCATTCCTGCTTTGTGAGGAGGCTCCGGGCTACCCCTGTCGAGCTCTCGTGTTGCAGGACGGAGGGCAGGATGGGAGCAAGTTCCTGGCAGCCTCCCAGTGCAGGAGTTCACCGTGGGCTCTGGGGGACCTGTGCCTCCACCCTCTCCTTCTTGAGGTCTCAGGCAGTGGCCTTGGGGTGCTGGGGTGGCCCAGAGGGGGAGAGGAAGGTGGTGGTTGGCAGTGCCCGCACGTCCAGCTGTAAGCCCGGACCTCGCCTGGTGGCAGGAGGGCAGAGATGCCCGCCAAGACCCCCTTATTTGGGGATTTGGGGGAGGGGAAGTGGCAGGCGTCCTGGGCCATTGAGCTGGGTCCCACGTGCAGGACCGTGGAGGGAGCATTCTTAAAGAGGCGCTTTGGAAGTAAGCAGATGGACGGAACAAGCCTAGTTTCCTGAGGGGCCTTTTGTGCTGTCAGCAACTGAGATACTTGCAGAACACTGTACAGACCCCGTGCTCCCCTGTACATTCCCCCTGGTGGCGCCCGGTCCCCGCTCGGGGGTGGGAATTTTGTAGACTGTACAGAAATCGGCACCTATTTTCTTGCAGCTCTCAGATTTTGTTAATCCGGATTATACAGACAGACGTAAAGTGTTTTAGCAAAACGGAAAACAAACAGTTGTGCCTTTTTCCTCTTTCTGTTTGGTTCGGTGTCGGCTTGGGGTGGCCTTAGTTGGCGTGGGGCGAGTTGGGGCTGCAGCTGACCTGAGGCCTGGCCGGGTGGGAAGGGCAGGCGGGGGCCCGTGACGTCCGCGTGGTGGGTCGTGTCTTGTCAGGTGTCAGGCGGTGGCACTGGGACGCTGCCAGCTTCCTCTGATCCTGTGCCTTTGGACCTCCCGTCCCTGGGGCGGGGCCCGTGGGTGGGGCCGCCGGAGCCCCCGGGCTGCCCACGTCTGCTGGCATCGACCGAAGTGCCTCTCTGGTGATGCTTCTGGCAGTGGTGTGGCCCCTCCCGTCCTGCTGGTGTCTGTCGATGCTGCGTCCTCCCCGCGCCCCAGTCAGTGGCCCGGAGGCTGGTGGGTGCTGGCTGGGCTCTTGACCTTTCCTTATGCCCTCTTGCTGCTGCCAGGAGAGATGCCAGGAGGGGTGTGGCAGGGTGGCCATGTGTCCGGAACTCTGCTGTCCAGCTGCTGCCTGGCCCCTGAGGTGGGCAGAGGCACCTGTGTGCCCCAGGCTGGGTGCGTGCTGAGCCCAGGTCAGGACCCTTGCCCGGCCGGCATGCGGCTCCCGGGCTCCAGGGGAGCACGGGGGGCAGGTCTCCCGTCCTCCCCCAGCCTGGGAGCTAACTGCTCCACAAACATGCACTGAGATGTGAATTTTATACCTTTGTAGAAATTCTGATGTTACTTCTTCTACCTCTGTGAAGCGTCCTCCTGGGGTCCTGCCCAGTGATGTGTCTGGGCAGCTTCTCTGCACTGGGCGGCCCTGGGCCCCCTCCCCTCCCTGCTGGCTCCTGGGCCTCCCCAGACTGGAAAGCCAGCCCTGGGCCCGGCACCCGTGCTCAGGGGTCGGGCTTCCAGGGCTTCTGTTGTCTGTGTCTGGAGCGGAAAGCGGGAGGCAGAGCGCTCAGGATGTCTGCGTTAGATGAGCCTGGAACACAGGCCCGATGGGCACGTCCAGGCAGTGGGATCCAGGGCAGCTGAAGGCTCCAGCACCTCTGGATGGCCCAGTGCCACTAGGGTCCTGGCATGTGGCTGGCGGGCCATCCCAGGGGTAGCTCCCCCTGCCCAGGTATGGGCTTTTCAGACAGCTGGCCCCTGACGGTGGGCAGCCAGGGTGGGTGGTGTGCGTGTGTTGAGGCCAGCCAGGTGTCCCGGCCCCAGGAAGGGCCGTGGCAGCGTCTCCCACCTGGTACCTCCATCGTGTCCGGCCTGGCCTCCCCCTGCTGCCCTTGGGTGGAGTGGGGGAGGGACAGGGGGCAGAAGGCTTGGGCTGGGAGGCCACACGGTCCTGGGGCGGCCCCCACCCTGCTCTGTGTGTCCTTTCTCAGGTGGCCCCTCCGGCATCAGGCAAGTGCTTAGGAGGCTCTCTGGGCCACAGGGCCTGGCTCTGGCCTCTGGGAGGCATGTTGACACTTGTGGGTGTGGGTCTTTGCCCATCCTCGGGCGCTGGGCACACCGCTGGGGCCGCCTTCCTGTCAGTGTCTGGGGGATGGCTGGACAGTGGCCCCAGGCCTTGGGAGCCTGCTGCCTTTCCCTGGCTATGTCCTCCGTGTTCCTGCTGCTCCTGTGTCTGTTGGAAGCCGCTTCTGTGAATCATTTTGGCCACAGGCTGTGTACCTGTGCTGGTGGCCCTCTGGCCGAGGCTTTTGGGTTCGAGTTCTGGGCTGGGTGTGGGGCAGATCCTGGACTGTGTTTGCTCCATGGTGCCAAGGACAGGCTCTCAGTGATGGCGTGAGGTCCACTGACAAGTGGGCTGCCCGGGGTCAGGGAGGGGAGCCCCAAGCTAACTGTTGTTGGATGTGGTTTTTTAACAGCAATAATTAGCCGTTTTGGAGAAGGGGTGTGCCTGTGTGTGTGCATGTGTGCCTGTGGGTACGCGCACACGTGTGCGCCTCTGCGTGTGTGCGTGTGTGTGTGTGCAGGGAGGGAGCCTGGGGGCCGAGGGCCCGCTCTGGCTGGGAAGGGGCAGCCGGGAGGTGCTCGGCGGTGCGGCCGGCCTGAGGCCTCGTTCACGCTCCTTCTCCGGACCCAGCGGACCTTGAATCTAGTGCTCTTTCCTCCCTGGCCAAGGGTGCCGGACGGCCTGTGTGAAGGGGGGTGACCAGGATGAGCTTTTGCCCAGCTCTCTGGCTGTGTGGGGAGGGTGGCAAGAGCAGTGACACTCAGCCAGACTGGCCGAGATCAGATTTGTTTGACCACGGCTGCCATGGACGCGGTGTCCTTGGGCAGGCAGAGCCCAGAACGTGTCATGGTGGCTGGTTTCACTTACTGTGTTTACCGTTTGTGAGCCCAGGACTGAGGCGTCTGTCCTGACATCCCAGGATGTACCAAACAGCCCCCGAGAGGGCCCGGAGGGGCCGTGCACTGCGTCCAGAGGAGACAGGCTGCAGGGCTGGGGAGAGGGTCCCAGGCTTCCTGTGCGTGTGTGAGCGATGGGAGGGGCCGGGAGCAGTGTCCCTCCGCCTGCCCAGCCCCCAATGCTGCTGTTTTTCAATAAAACCGGAGTTGATGGAACCGGGCTCCATGCTTTCTTGAGGTGTCGTCTGCGCAACGCTGGGCCAGGAAGGGCTGCTTTCCTGGAGATGCTGGGCCCCTCCTCCTGGAGGCTGGAGCAGGTGCCTGGGTGACCTGTGGGCTGAGAGGCCCCCGTTTTTGTGTCAGCAGCCCCGGCCGGGCTCTCCTGCAGGCCTGGGGGTCTGCCCGTCTGTCTGACGCCTCCTTGGAGCAGGTCGGCTCTGAGGGATGCCATGAGGTGTGGGACCCCCAGTGTCTGTAAGGAAGGGAGGGTGATGGGATGGGGGTGTCAGGCTGGAGAGCAGGGCACAGGGGTGGGGCAGGGACGTTGGGGCTCAGGGTGGACATACACCCAGCCGTGTCCAAAGGCTCCTGCAGCCCACCCAGCATGGACTGCTCTCCACAGCAGGCCTTCCCCTGGCTGCGCTCTCCTGCCCTGGCCCAGGTTCTGGGTGGGAGGGAACGTCCTCGCAGGGTCCATCCACCGCCCAGCCCCGAGGGTGTCAGGCGTGTTCCCTTCTCGCGGGTCTGACTGGGACGCTCTGGGATGTGCCCACCCCACGTGGCTTCCCCCCACAAGGCACACGGCGGTCCACGCTGGCCCAGAGATGTCAGCTCCCAAGGACGGTCGTTTGCTTGAGTGAGATGCCCCTTGTGAAGCCCGGCAGTGGTCTTGCTTCTGAGGTGACAGAGCATGAAGACAGGCTGCCACTCAGACATACGGACACACAACAGAGGCAGTGGCGTGGAGGGCCCTGGCAGCTCTCCAGGTGCTGGAATGTTCTATCACATGGCGGTCAGGCCTGGCCATCTGGATGCTGCACAGCCCATGAGACCAGTGACGAGATCTTGAAGCCATGAGAAAAACGGGCCTGGGCATGATAAACTGTGACAATCCACGTCACTCAGAAAAGATGATGCCATGTCCCGTGGGCTCTAGTTGCCATTAAACAGGAGCAGAGTCTACAGCCGGTGGAGGGGGGGGGGGAACCCGTGCCCGCTCCTGGAGCTGCATCTGGGCCCTGTCAACATGCTCGCCCTGCCCTGGGTAGGCGCTGCACCCCACTTGGAGGGTGGCATGCAGAGCCTGGACCCAGACCAGGGTCTGGGAATGGGGCCCCGGGATGAGACAGGCGGCCGGGCAGTGGTGCGGGGCAGGGTCGGTGGGAGCCCAGCTGCAGTCCTGCTGGGACACCTGTCCCAGTGAGGTGACCTTCCCCTGCCTCAGTGTCCCCACCATGCCAGGGGGGTGGCACCTCTGTCACAGGCTGCTGTGAGGCTCCAGGGGTGCACGGGCCATGCCCTCCCTCGGCCCTGGGGGTCTGTGAGAACCAGCTCGCGTGGACACCTGGCCGGCGAGCACCTGTGCACGGGCCCCTCTGGCCCTCAGGAGGGTGGTCAGGCTGTGATCTCTGGCCAGTACGTCACTGCCCCAGCCCTGGAGGCCCTGGGAGCCAGGCTGCTGGCAGCTCCTGGGCACCCGCGAGGTGGTGAGCAGCTGTCAGCCTGGGGCAACCTAGGGCTGGGCCACTCCTGCCTGGGGTGCTTGCCCTGGCTGTGCCCAAGCGGCCGAGGGCTGCGCACATGGTGTATCCCACCCAAGGGAAGAATTCACGCGGACAGGGCTGAGCACATTCACAAGAGGCGTTTACTCCGGGGGGCACCCAGCTGCCCCAGCTCCAGAGGAAAGGTGGCCCTAGCCGAGTACCAAGCGCTTGACTCTGACCTTGGGAAGGCCACACAGCGGGCTGGTGGAAACCAGTTCTCTTCCCCGCTGTTGCCTGGGGCTACAGACCAAATGAAGGCGAAAAATGCGTGCACGGGGGTAGGCGCTCAGGGGCCGGCGGTGGCTGAGCGGTTGCTTGGAGACTCGGCAGGACGGTGGTGGGGTCACGGGCCGGGGCCTCCTGCAGTGGTGCCAGGTGTCCCCACGAGCGGCCGACACTCAAGCTCACCTTCAGGGGCACCTGCGGGTGGCAGCCAGAGGTGAGCGCCAGACCTTCCCAGCCACCGCCCAGACCCCCACGCGGGCAGCCACTTGCCCCAAGACACACAATTAGACACGGCCACAGCAGCTCAGCTACGGACAGACGCACACTCACACACGCTCACACGCACACACACGGCAACAGGTAAACGGGCTCACCGCACACCCACCCTGTCACAATGCCTCGACCTTGGCTGAGCCCCCTCACCTGCCAGGGCCCCTGTGCAGCAAGGAGCTCGTAGGGGCTGGCCAGGCAGGGGGCTCTGGCATAGGGAGGTGTGTCCTGGGGCCACCTGTGGTCCCCCAGGGGGATCAGCTGATTTCAAGAGGTGCAGAGGAGTCTGGAGAGCCCTCCTAGGGACCTGATCCTGAGAGCACCCTTGACCACGGCTCAAGAGCTCCCTCTCAACGGGAGGGGGCCGCTCACAGCTGCAGCCCCCTGCCACTTGCAGGGCTACTAGTGGGGTGAGGTGGGGCTTCTTGGGCTCCTGGGGACCTCGGGTCCCCCACGTCTCCACCTGCCACAGGAGCAAACGCCAACTACTCCAGAACACGGGAGTTCCCGTCCCTGGCTGGGCCTGTGTGGGTGCTCCTTCATGCTGCCAAGCTGCCGCCCACAGGGCGAGGTGAGGGGTAAAGTTAACGGTGGGATGGGTGCAGGGGCCCCAGGGGCACAGAACATGGCTGCTTCCACGGCAGGGAGGAGGGAGCGACCATGGGACGAGGGGCAAGCCATCCTTCCCTGCAGCCTTTCCAGGGGCTCCAAGGTGCTTGTTGACCCTGTCCGGCCCATGTGCAAGACTTCAAGGACTCTCACCTCCTTGTTACTCCTCCACCTTCCCCACCACCCTGGGGGAGCATGGACCCGAAGGTCTTCCTGGTGGGGACCTGGAGCCCCTCTGAGAGCCAACAGCCAGCAGTCTGGCTGGGACTGGCTTGGCACGTCCAGGTGCACCTGGGGCAGGTGGCAGTGGCCTAGGGGGGGAGGGCTGATGAATTCCTCCCCCACGCCCGGCCCTGCCCGGCTCCTGCCCCGCCCCCTCACCTGCAGCTGCAGCTCCACCGCCGGCACGTGCTGCAGGGCCTCCATGGTTCCCCTGACGAGGGCTGGGACAAAGGCAAGACAGAGGGGCAGCCCGAGCCTGCCTGGCAGAGCTGGCACCAGGAGGACACCCGGGCCCCAGCCCTACCCCAGCCCCCAGGATCCCCGGTTCTCCCAAGTCCACACAGTCATGGTCACCTGTACTGGTTGCTCTGGCAGCCACTGCGGCTCTCCCCAACTGGTTCCAACTCCCACTGGCACGTGCTTGAAGGCGCCTTAACGAGCCCCAACAGTGGGTGCCGCAAGCAGGGCCCTCGGGTCCCAAGTGTCGCTGTAGCCCCGCCCACACGCTTGTCTGCAGCTGCGGGCCCCCTGTGCCAACCCCAACCCCCCGCCCCGGGTGGCCAGGCCAGGCGATCCCGCTGGCCCGAGCAGCCCAGGCAGGACGACCTGTGCTTCCGCCGAAACCCCTGTGAAGTTTCACGTGCCCGTGACGCTGCAAGGACAACTCCATGGCACTGGGGGCTGGGCCGGGAGCAGCCCGGCGGGAGGGGCTGGCTGGCTCAGTGTTCCTCAGGGTTTGCTCTAAGTTATCTGACATTTCAGTACAAAGATCGCCAAAGGAACGCCCAAGGAATGGGCGGAGGCTGCCTTGTCCTCTGTCCTCCGCGGCCCCAGGGCGGGGCATGGGGCCTGGGGTGTCTGGCGCAGGATCAGCCGCTGTCCGAAGGCCTCACTACCCTCTCTGTGCTTGCAGAGGGACACTGGTGTGGCCGGGGAGTGGGGAGCCACTTCATGTGGCTCCTGGGTCCAGCTGTGGGGAGGTGGGCGGGCAGAGTGGGCCCGGCCTCCCTGGGGAGCTGCAGGGTGTCCAGGTGCTTCTAATGGGAGGAGTCAGACCCTGACACCCCCTCACTGGGTGTGCAGACAATACCAGGTCCTCCTGTGTATCCCCTCCTTTGTGCGACTGACTAAACGAGTGACCCCGAGTAACCACTGGGCAGAGGGGCGGTGGCAGTCGGGCAGAGCTGGCTGTCTCCCAGGCCTCTCCCTGGGGTGACCCGTGTCCCCGGCCTGCACCATATGGCCCATGAGGGCAGGGTCCCTGGGCTGGGGGCCCCAGAGCCCCATCCTGGGTCTGCCCTTTGGGCCGCCATCAGGTGTGTCCTGACCACCCAGCATTTCAGAGATGGCAGCCAGCCCCGGCCCACACCGGGTTCACCTGTCTCGTGGTCCGTGGCTGGGTCGAGACCCCAGAGCTCTCCCAGCACAGCGCCAGGTGGTGCCTCTGAGTGCTGGCCTGTGGCCGAGGCCCCTGCATCCCTCAGGGAGCCACAGGGAGCAGAGCCTCAATGCCTGCCTGAAACAGTGAGCAGCTGCCCCCAGGATGAACGGGAACTGGGCTGTTCCTAAGACGGCTCCCTCCAGATGTAGAACTTTTTCTTTCCTTTTTAACCAGCAGCTGAGCACCCGCCAATCCCATCAAATGGTTTGTTTCAGGCCCATTATTTCCAAACAGATTTCAAATGATGATGTAGGATGGGCCCCCCTGTAGAAGGAGGCCCTGTGTAGGATGTGGCCCCATGTAGGATGGGGCCCCGTGTAGGACGGGACCCTGTGCAGGATGGGGCCCTGCCATGGGCTGGTTTCCCATCTGTAAGACGGAGGTGCGTGTAGGCTGGGGCGCCGAGGGCAACGGTCTCACCACTTTTCAGGGCAGGTCTCTGCAGGTGCTGGCGGAGCTGGGGGAGGGCTTGGCCAGTTGTCACTTGGGAGCTGGCTGGGAGGCTGGTACCCAGCCCTAACGCCCAGCCCTGTACTCTCTCCTCCCTCGGCCACCTCCCTCACAGGCCCTGCAGGGCCTAGAGGGACCAGGGCCCTAGGGCTCCTGCTCTCACTAGAGAGGCAGAAGAGAGGCCCCCATGCCCACTGCAGTGGTAGTTGTTTAGGGGAGGACTGCTGCCCAACCTGAGGACTGAGTCGGGGACAGGTGGTCTCTAGCTTCAAAGAATCCCGGAGGGCTCACAGCGGGTGGTGCCTGTCGCGGGGGCAGGGTGGGACCCAGGCTTGGAGTCTGTGCTCAGCCTGTGGGCCTCAGCCACCCCGATGCTCCAGCACTAACCCTGCTGCCGGCCCCACCGCCTGGCTCCCGCCGGCCTGGGGTCCCAATGTCGCCCCCACCTTTCCGGGGCCCCTGGGGCTGATGCAGGGCCCCCAGTAGGGCACTTAGCGTTCCCCAAGGGCTGCTGGCCAGGGAATGGCCGTCCAGACCTCTCAAGGGCCCCCAAACAAGGCTGGCCCTTCTGCAGGTGGCACACAGCAGGTGCAGGGAGGGGCCTGTGAGCCCCCAGGGAGATACTGTATTCGTGACATAGAAACAACCCTGGCTCCTCCGGGCTCACCTGCGAACTCAGGGATCTGTGAATCCTCCACTTCAAACAGCAGCTCGTCGTGAATCTGGGCAACCAACCTGCAAGACATGCGGTGGAGGGAGTCACCCCCGTGCGTGGGCCTTCCGTGCTCTGTCCCTGCCTGTGACAAGGGGCGCGTGGGGCACTGCCCGGTGCTGGCCAGTCCGCCTAGGTTTTGGCACAAGGTGCCCGTGAGGATGTGGCTCGGTGGGGAGTGAGAGGACCCAGGCAGGGGCTGGTGGGCGGGGGTCACGGCACCATCACCAGGACAGCCTGCGGGAGGAGAACACAGGTTAGAATGATGCATTGGAGGCAGAGGGCCCAGGATAAGAGGGTCCGGGCGACCCCCTGCCCCCCCCAACCTGGGGAGCCTGACGAGGACACAGTGGGGCTGAGCATTTTGAGGAAGAAGAGCCCCCCTTGGACCATCGCGGGGGCAGGGACCCTGACAGGCCTCTACTCGAGGCCATTCTGCAGGCACAAGACCCCAGCATGTCCCTGCTCCTGGGTCCTGGCCCACGGCCTGGGCACCTTGCTGCTGCCCTCCTGGCCACTCCCTGTCCCCGAGACACCACGCTCCCCGCCTAGGTCTGGGCCCAGGGCTGAGCTCCAGGGGAGGAGTCAGCACTCACTCCAGCCCACTCCGCTGGACAAGTCCTTGCTCGATGCCCCACTTCTCTGAGCCCCCTCAGGCACCCCCTTGAGGGGTGTCTGTCCCCACCTGCCTCTGGGTGAGGAAGGGGGGGGGGGGGGTGTGTGGACGCTGCAGTGGAAGGAGGTGTGTAGGCAACAAAGGTGCTGCTGAGGGGCAGGGCTCCTGGGAGGACGTAGACTCAAGCGCCAGGGACTGGCATGTGCGCATGTGTGCACGGGGTGGGGATGGAGGAGGGGGACACCCCAGGGATCGGCCCTGGAAGCTGTTCCTTGGCCGCACAGAACACAGTCTGCAAGGATCTGGCCAGCATGGGCCAGGTGTGCCCCGCGCTTAGAAGGTAGGATCTGGGGGCTTCCCTGGTGGCCCAGTGGTTAAGAATCTGCCTGCCGATGCAGTGGACACGGGTTCAAGCCCTGGTCCGGGAAGATCCCACATGCCGCGGAGCAACCAAGCCCGTATGCCACAACTACTGAGCCCGCAAGCCACAACTACTGAAGCCCGCGCAGCTAGAGCCCATGCTCTGCAACAAGAGAAGCCACTGCAATGAGAAGCCCGCTGCACCGCAATGAAGAGTAGCCCCCGCTCACCACAACTAGAGAAAGCCTGCATGCAGCAACGAAGACCCAACGCAGCCAACAATAAATAATAAATAAATTGATTAAAAAAAAGAAGGTAGGATCTGGGTTGTCTTCTGACACCTACTGGGGGCTGTGACCTCAGACCCGGTGCCAGCCCCTCCTTGGGGCGGATGAAGGAGGCTCACCCTGTGCACTCAGGGAGAGGGGAGGCGTGGTGTAGAATGGTCTTGAGGGCCTGTAGCCCTCAGGGAAGGAGGGTAGGCATGTGGGGTGTGTGTGTGTGCTCTGCCCTCTGTGTGACCTGGTCTCTGCCTCTAGGACGCTGCTTCCGAGGGAAGGGGCCATGTCCTGTCCTTGTCACTGTACAGCCTGTGCACACTTGTCACCATACTGCCTGTGCACGCTTGTCACCGTACTGCCTGTCCACAGCAGGCAGAAGCAGCGCCTGGCAGAGCTGTGGGCCCAGGGGCACCAGGGAGCTGGGGCTGCACAGGGAGGTGAGGCGAGGCCCCCGGACAGGGGTCAGAGTCCGGCCGGGCGCGGGGAGCAGTCTTCAAGCCCAGTGCAGAGACGGATTGTGCCGGCGCTTTCAGAAGCTGTGCAGGACTTTGTAACCGAGAAGCACAGGGCTCTACCCTGAACCACTCTCCCCTTTTCTCTGTTGCTGGGTCGGGGGGAGATGAGGCTGTGTTCCCAGCCACCTGCGGTGGGTACCCCCCAGCTCCCACGAAGGCTCTTGAAAGGGCTGACGTGCGGGGGGTGGGGGCGGGTACCCTTTCTATCACCACTGCTTTCTCCCTTTGCCCGCTATGCGCTGTGATTGCTGGAGTGGCCACCTCTACCAAGGCACCAAGCGGGAAACGGCCAGGGAGCCAGAGGGACTTCAGTCCTGCCGCCCCAAGCCTCTGAACCGAAGTCAGCAACTGGATCCCTCACGATGGGGGAAAGTCCACCTTTAAGTCTGAGCTGCCGTGAGCAGGCACAGCCCATCCTGCTCGTGGGAGTGAATCCCCAGGGCATGCTGGGTCCAGCCCAGGCCGCAGGCCGGCAGACGCCGCAGTGCCCGCAAGGAGGGGCCTGTATTTTACGCGCAGCCTCTGGCCAAGGGCTCTCGGCACCGTCCTCCGGGCAGCCAGGCCGGGCTGGTAGCATTGACATTTACTTTCTTGAACTGACTTCTAGGCCTCTGGCGGGGTCTCAGGCTCCCGAGAGTTTTCATACTTTTTGAAATTACATTGTGAAATTCTGAGTTGCTGGTGTGCCAGCAACCTAAGAATAGGTTTGAATTGTTAGTCACTCACACATCTCTCTCACAGCTGACTGCGACATTACCATATCTCCAGTTGGAAACTGGGGCACAGGAAATGCACAGGAGGCGCCCGGGTGGGGCAGGTGAACACAGGTGTCAGACCCGTTGTTTCCCAGGAAGCGAGCTGATGGCTGAGGAACTTCTCGTCCCTTTGTCCTGCGCGGACAGGCCACACATAACCACGCTCTTGTGGGGACACTCCAGGAGAGCCTCACCTCACCTCCCGGCTGTGGCCCGGCCGGCAGTGGCTGCCTGGGGCAGCTCCCTTCCAGGCGCCCTCAGCTCTGAGCACACCGTGAGGACTCATCTGAGAGCACAGGCGCACGGTGGCTGAGCCCCAGGCCTTCCCGCGGCCTGGCCACAGTCCTTGAGAGACACGGCAAGGCCCCATGCCCCTGCCGTTACGCTGTCGTCCTGACCTCCGCAGGTGACCACAGACGGCCGCTCTGGGGAGCTTGGTCTCAGTGCCCCCACAGTCCCTCTGTGCTGTCAAGGTCAGGTTTTGTTAACTGCTCTGCGTCCTTCCTGCTGGACCAGCGTGGCGTCCTCCCGCCCCCAAAGGCCCAGCCTCCCATCCGTCCACTCCGGCCAGTGGCTGCTGTGGTCCAGGCCATGGTCCAGGGGCTTGCTGGCTGCCCCAGCCTTGCTTCCCATACATCCTCAAGGGCCCAGGTGCTGCAGAGCCCTCTCCACCTGCTGCCCTGTCACCGTGGGAAGTCCAGGGCCTGCTGCCCCCATGTCCCTCAAGGCCGCTTCTCGCTGCTTGGCTGGTCCTGTCGCCTGCCCTGGGCCCCGGGCACCTTCTCTGCCCCTTCCTGAGATGGGGAGAGCAAGAGACCACATGCCAGGCTAAGCCTGACCACAGATGCCCTCGGGTTGCTGCCAGGTGGGCAGAGGGCTGCCTGTGTGGTGGGATGACCCTGCTGTCCTGTAACCATGGGCAAAGGAGCAGGGTAAGTGTCCTCTGAGGCTGCCATGCCATCCAGTGGGGAAGCAGTGGGGCTGTGGTCCTCTGCATGAGCCCAGGGGAGGAGAGTCTGCAGCATGCCGGGGGGCCCGGTGCTGGTCTAGTTCTGGTGATTTGGGCCGTGTTGCACCACGCTCTCGGGTTCCCTTCTCTACATGCAGGTGTTGGAATCGACAGCCTCCAAAGCTTCTTTCCAGCCCCAACATGGTCTGAAACCTGGAAGGGCCTGTCATGGGGGTCCCACGTTGGAAGAGAGGAGGCCGCCCCCCCGCCCCCCGACAGCTCAGCATGAGGCCAAGTGAGCTCTCGGCCAACGGCAGCGCTTGGGGTCACGAGCCCCCTGGCCTTCCTTCCCCAGCCCGTAGGCAGTGAGTGGAGGCCGTCCTGTGGCTCCAGCCCGCGGGGCACTTCGGGGCGACTGGACCAGGTGCCAGGAGCCCCAGGGACGCGTTCCAGTCACGTTGCTTCAGGCAGATACCAGCTCACGCGTGCCCCGCGTCTGCCCCCCACCCCCACCCCGACCACCGACATTGTCCTAGACCTTTCCTGCCACTCCAGGGAGAACAACTCAAGTTCACACGCACAGTGTGGACGGCCGTGTTCCACACTGGCCTGCTTCGGTTTCTGAAATGACACGAAGCGGTTAACGTGTTCTGTTATGAAACGTGTTTCCTGAAGACAACACAGCGCTGGCAAAAGGGATGGCCACCGGGTTTCTGAATTCCTGGATGAGGACTGTCACCAAAAGGCCCCAGACCCTCGTATGCCACTTCCCTTACCCATCTCACAGAAACTGGAGATGGACCAGACCTCCTAGACGTAAGATATCGCGGACGTGGAACAACCGGCGCTAGTGCAGGCCCCACACACCCTCACGCATTTTACCCTCAGAAAAGGCACAAGTGAACAGGATGCATGGATTCAGGAGTCGAGCAGAAAGCCACGAGGAGCCCTGGATGGAAGAGGCGTCTGGCCTCGGTGTGTGCGTGCTGGGGACGGCCGGCAGGAGAGACCCGGCGACAGGAGAACATCTCCCACTCAGCTCCTGCCCCCTCACCTCCCACAGCTGCTGCAGGAACCGGAGACAGCAGCCCAGACCCTGGCGCAGCTACCGCAGGGCACCTGGGGGTAGCGCTTATATCCTGCCGGGTCTCAGGCTTCTCACCCTCTGTCCTTCCTCCCAGCCCTGGGGTGACAGCCGGGGTGTGGCTGCTCCTTCCCAGGGGTGTAAGGTGAACCATGGACCAGAGGAAGTGCCCGGGGCAGGGGCTGTGAAGGTGGAAGCCAACAGCGGTGGAGCCTGGGAAGGTCTTCTCCCGTCTCCTTTACTAGGACACGACCCTGCAGGCCAGGGCCTTTGACCCGGACACACTTCTCTACAAAGTTGCTGAAATTGCCAAAAGAACGTAGGCTAGAACATCAAAATGAACAGGAGGAAACATCTGAAGAAGTAAAGGCGGAAGCTTGTTAAGCAAAGATGAAAGATCTCAGGCAAGGAAAAATCCCATGTCTTGAGGATGTAAAGCAGTATCAGAAGCCAAGAGAAAACCACAAGCTCACATGGAAAAGGGTGGCCACAGGCCAGCAGGCCCCGTGTCCCAGAGGTGGCGGGAGGAGGGGCCAGCTGTCCTCTGTGCTGGTGACGCCCCGTAGTGCAGAGGAGTGAGCAGACACCCCTCAGGGTGGGGCCCGTGAGACCACTTAACGCTTCATAAATTTTCATCACCTAACCCGCCATGAGCTTCCTCCCCAGGTGCAGACAGGCTGACGCCCGGGAAGGGCTCCTCAGCAGGCAGGCCCACGCTGGCCCACACGTGGAGCCTGGGAGGGCCCGGAGGGGTGGCAAACAGACATAGAGACCAAAGAGGGAGGGAGGCAGACCTCCTGGGGTCGGACATACTCACTTCTCTGGGGAGCCCAGGTGGGCCGCCAGGAGGGGATCCTGGGATTCGGGAGGAGAACCCACCCCCTCCCACCTGCACCCAGGCCAGGACCTTGGGCGGCCCAAGGGGTGGTTCTGGGCCAGCAGAGCCTGGGACGAGCACACCTGGTCACCCGGACACCCGGACACTCCCTCTGCTCGGGGTATGTGCCCAGGAGAGCAACCGAGGCAGACGTGGAGCCTGGCGAGAGCCTTCAGGGAGGGGATGGCAGCAGAAGCCGGGCCTCTGGCTCACTTATCGGGGGCTGGGAGCGGACGCCGTGTGGAGCCCCGTGTCCTGTCTGAGGGGCCGCGGGGCCCACCCAACTCTGAGGCGGGCAGCTGCGTGTGTACCCCTGGGGCCGTGCCCTAAGGGGTTCGGGCTCACCAAGGGGAGACACATTTCTGCACCTGGCAACCTGGGGAGACTCAGCGTGCTCCGGGGTGAGCAGGCCCTTGGCCACCTTGCTCAGTCCCAGCTGGGAACAAAGCGTTCTCCTGGGAGCGCTGGGAGCACCTTGGCTGAAGCGGGTCCCTCCGTGGGGGTCAGCGAGCTTGTCCGGTCCAAGCCCCGGAGGGAAGTGGCCACTGTGGCTTCGCGTCCTGGAGGCGTCTGCCCGCGGGCTAGGCACAGAGCAGCAGGCCGCCCACCCGAGCCCTGCAGAGGGCAGGTCCGCGCCCTGGGCTGGGCCTGGGCGGGCTGGCGCTCACTCACTGACCTGGCCGTCAGGATGGGGGATGTGGCCACTGCTGTGAAGAGGTGGATCATGGCCATCTTGCAGAGGTCCGCGGCCGAGCCTGTGAGGCACAAAGGGCGCTGGTTCAGGAACAGTGTGAGGTCCGGGGCCCCGCAACCCTGCCCACCCAGGAGGACTGTCTGAATTTTCTACACTGCGTAACGCATGACCGCACACCCAGCAGGTGCGAGCCACAAGGATCTACCATCTCTCAGTTCTTGCACGTGTGGCTGCACCTTTGCTCAGGGACTTGCAGGCTGAGGTCGGTGTGGACCTGGCTGTGTCCTCATCTGGGGCTCCCCTGAGGAAGGCCCACTTTCAGATGACCTCAGGTTGCCAGCAAAATTAATTTCCTTGCAGTCACGTGACTGGGGTTCCCGTTTCCTGGTGGCTGTGACCCTCAGGTCTGTGCCACGGGCCCTCCCCCCAGCGTGTTTGCCCCTCCACGGCCGGAATCTCTGACTCTGATCCCTAAACATTCTTTCAAGGGTCCACCTGATCAGCTCAGGCCCACCTGGGATGTCCCCTTCTGATACGCTCAAGTCAGCTGACTGGGGACCCTACACCTGCCGTTTATCACGACCTGCCCCTGGGAGCAGTGTCTCAGCATGCTCACAGGTTCTGACCACACCTGGGCTGTGCCCGCTGCACCAGCCGACAGGATGACGGAGCCCGGACGGCGGCCATGGGCTCAGCCCCTGCTCCCTCAGCCCTCCCGCTGTGCAGCCCGTGAACCTGGCAGAACCTCAGCCTCCCAGTGTGTGGAGTGGGGCTATGATACGGGCTTCTAGGACTTGGGCGGGATCAATCACACGGTCAGTCAGGCACTCTGGAGGTGCTGGCCAGCGTAGGGGACACGCTTGTTCCAGCGCCAGGCAAATAGTGGGTGTCTCAACAACCGGTTCGGATCACGGGAAACAGACTGAAGTTCAGGTTTCCATTCCTGGCTTTAAGCTGCTCTAGCTGTTCAAGGCTCCTGAGGTTCACGAAGAAATAAAAGGCCCCAGTCAGTGGGCCGCCTCCCTCCACTGCAGGGCCACACTTCCCATGAGCGCAGCAGGAATGCTGGACGTGCAAGTCTGGTCTCTGCGACTGACCTGCTGGCCGCGAGGGGCCTCAGCGCCACGGGGACCCTCTGCCGGGGCTGGGATGTCGGGAGGCTTTGCTACCTTAGGAGGGGGCGCAGAGCCAAGAGAGAGGAGGTGAGGTGGGGAGCAGAGCACGGGTGGGGTGGGATGCGGGAGCAGGCCGGCCAGGCCCTGTGTCTGCCCAGGTGGAGGGACAGCTCCCTGGCGGGCACTGGCTCGGCTCAGCACGGGAACGGCAGGTCACTTGTCCCGTGCCGTCACGTGCTGGGAGATCACCTCTCTGGGGGAGCTCAAAGCGTGGCCAGGCCTCCTGGTCAGCGTCCCATGTGGAGAGGTCTACGTGCAGTTTTTTCTCCAAACCAGCTTCAAGGCCGCCTTGCACACACCTCAGGGACAGAGGCGGGTGGTCATGAGCCAACCACGGCCTCGCGTGAGGGAGCCGGCCTGAGATGCAGAGACCTCTCAGGGCTGGAGGCTGTCGCTGTGCTCTGCTCTCGTCTGGGTGGTCACAGCGGGGCAGGACCCGGGAAGACGCTACACTGAGCCCAGAGCCGGTCCCAGCCGTCCTCCCGCAGCCGCCACCCGCTCTCCTGCTCGCCAAGGCTGAGCTTAGCCGGGCAGCGCTGCCGCACCGGCCTCTGTGCAGCACTCGCTGGGGACTTGACCTTCCTGCTCCACCATCCACGCCTCACACTCCGCGTCTGCTGGGCTGGGCCACCCTCCTGCTGCAGAAACCCATCTGGGGCTGGGGTCCTACTTCCAGTCTTCGTCTCTGGGCCCAGGAACCTTGGTTCTCCATCCGTGACCACTGGGGTCACAGGTGGGGACGCTGCCCGACCCCCAGGCCCCCAAGGCCTCATCAGGACAGCGCCTAGCGCCGCCTCACACCTGCCCTCCACGCAGAGACTGTGGCTTTGGCCATTCTAAGGAAGACTGACGGATCCGTGGTGGGTGCGCTGGGGTTCGGACGCCTGCCAAGGATGAGGGCTGTGGCGGAGAGACCAGGCCGAGGGTCAAGGGACTGAGCTCCAGGTCTGGCCCTGGCGCCGGCCGGATGACCTCCTGGAGCCTGTCTCCCGTCTGGCCTCGTGGGGTGCGTCGCAGTCAGGAAGGGGACCAGGTGCTGAGCACCTGCCCTGCGGCTCCCAGCAGTAACCGCCAGGAGGACGAGAGCAGGATATACCCTGGCACTCATCTCCTGGGGCTGGAAACCGAGAAGCAGAGGGGCTCTGGCACCTTGCACCACAAAGTTCACCGCCTGCCGCTCTGCTTGAGCCCGGAGCTGTGGGTCACGTGCACGGATCCTCGGCAGCGGCCTCCTCCTGCCCATGATGGACACCACACAGCCTGCGTCACATGGAGGAAGGGCAAGATGAGAGCAGCAGTGAGCGGGCGGCGCGGCGGCCTGCTGGACCCTCCCCTTGTGGGCACAGCTGCTCTCAGATTAGGTCCTGGGGCCCCGCGGGAACCCTCCCTGCTGCAGCTGGAGCTGCAGTGCCGGAGCTCCGCCCTGAGGCCTCTGGGTCTGTCTCTAGGGCGGGTGGGCTCTGTGGTGGGAAAGCAAGGACAGCAGCAGAGTGGCCTTTGCTTGCCCGGTGGCATGTTTTGCACACTTTCTAACTTCTAGCCGTGCTTAGATCTGATGTAGGACAGGAAGGGCGGTTTTTACACTCTAAAGGTGAAAAACCACTTGTGGTTCTTGGGGACAGAAGTAATTCTGGACAGTGTGGCAGCTGGAATTGGGGAGAAAAGCATTAATCCTTAGTTCACTCAAGGAGGGGTTGATGGTCTGTGTCAGAGACCACATCCCTACACATGAGGGCACATCCAAGCTTTGTGGGGCCCAAAGCTTCCATAATTTGGGGTCCTCTTTAAGAGAGTGAATGCAGAGGTGCTGCAATGGTTATGTTCCTGACCAGTGAGAACTTTGGTTTTACTAGGTGTTGGTAAGAACTAAATCCCCAACTTACACGTTATGTGTCTGAGGATTGGAAGAATTTCTCACATATACAATGATTATAAAAATGACAGTGTGTTAAGCACCTGCTCCAATGCCAGGCAACGTATAATTAAAGTCCCCTAACTGTGACAGGCAGCGAGAACAGGGAGAGCCGTGCTTCTGACGGGCGCATTCCAGTCTCTGTCTCTGTGCGTGTCTGGTGATTTTTCCTTTTTTTAAAAATTTATTTATTTATTTAGTTTCGGCTGCGTTGGGTCTTCGTTGCTGTGTGCCGGCTCGCTCTAGTTGTGGCAAGCGGGAGCTACTCTTCGTTGCGGTGCACAGGCTTCTCATCGTGGTGGCTTTTCTTGTTGCGGAGCACGGGCTCTAGGTGTGTGGGCTTCAGTAGTTGTGGCACACAGGCTCAGTAGTTGTGGCGCACAGGCTTAGCTGCTCCGCGGCATGTGGGATTTTCCCGGGCCAGGGCTCGAACCCATGTCCCCTGCATTGGCAGGTGGATTCTTAACCACTGCGCCACCAGGGAAGCCCTGTCTAGTGATTTCTGACTGGATGCTGGGTATTGTGCTTTTTATGTTGTTCAGTGATGGGGTTTGGTGTTTTCCTTTCTTTTTTTTTATTTAATTAATTAATTTTTGGCTGCGTTGGGTCTTCGTTTCTGCGCGAGGGCTCCCTCTAGTCACAGTGCGTGGGCCTCTTACTATCGCGGCCTCTCTTGTTGCGGAGCACAGGCTCCAGACGCGCAGGCTCAGTAGTTGTGGCTCACGGGCCCAGCTGCTCCACGGCACGTGGGATCTTCCCAGACCAGGGCTCGGACTCGCGCCCCCTGCGTTGGCAGGCAGATTCTCAACCACTGCGCCACCAGGGAAGCCCCTGGTGTTTTCCTTTCAAGAGTGTTAGGCAGGCCTGAGGTACTTGCAGATCGCCTGATCCTTTTGAGGCCCACTTTTAAGCTTTGTTAGGGTGGGTTTAGAGCAGCTTTAATCTAGGGCTAGTTTAGACCTACTGCTAAAGTGTTACCCTTCTGGGTGAATGTCTCAGATGTCCATTGAGCACCCTCCATTCCAATGGTCAGAACCCAAACATCTCCTGGCCCTGTGTGAACTCTGAGATGGTTCAGGCTGCTGCTCCCCAGAGATGATTCTGCTTAGTCCTATGGAGTTCCACTCTCTGCATCCATATCTCAGTATTCAGGACAGACGGGGGCTCCTCTGAAGGTTCATGGAGGCTTTTTCTCTATAACTTCCTCCTCTCTGATAGTCTACCTTGCAAGATCCGGTTGCCTTTGCCTCCCAGACCCAATACTTGTCTCCTCAACTCAGCGAGGCCACTGTAGTCTGCTTGGGCTCCCCTCCTGCACTATGGTCTGTGGCCCTAGACACAGGGTGTCAGAGGGCTCCCCTCCTTTGCTTCTGTTCTATCAGAGACCAGAGTAATACACTGCCTATGATCCAGTGTCTGGAACAGTTGCTTCATACGTTTTGCCCGGTTTTCTAGTTGTTTATGGTGGGAGGAAAGTCTGAACTTCTTTGCGGCCCAAAGTAGAAGCCCCTGGTTCCATACATTTCAAATCTTGTTTCCAAGGCTTGCGGTGCTGGTGATTATAGCTCCTGTTCACACTGCGAGATGACCTCTGGCCCTGCACCTTCCTGTTACTGCACTCGGGAAGTGGGAAGGCACGGAAGGAATGCTCCCGGAAGCCATCCCTGTGCCAGGACGGCTAGCACCCCTCAACCGTGCACGGAAAGAGCAACAAACCTCAGGAATACCCACACTGAGATCCGAACTAAATGAGTCACCAATTTGACTTCCCCTTAAGCTGGATTCAAAATATAGCTGTGGCCACGGCAATGTCACATACCATGGAAAGGAGTACAGTGGAGGAGGGTGGAGGGGAAGAGACAGCGTCTTAGTCAATCGCAGTTAAAGTACCCTGCTTTTGCCAATTTTACAAAAGATGTGACCACGTGAACACACTGCAGGGCCTCTCCCGGGGCCTGGGAGGGGGGGCCCACACAAGGAGGACCCTGAACTTACAGCTGCATCAGCATCATGGTCAACCTGCCTGGCCCACCTGTCCACCCCCGGGCAGGTCAGTGAGCCTGCAGGGAGAGCGCAGGCTCGCACCACCTCCTTCCCTCCTCGCCCTGCTGTCTACCTCTCACCAGTGGTCCCCCTCCATCCCACCTCCCGGGACTTCCTGAGCTAACAGCCGTGTCACTGCTCCCAGGTGCTGGCTCTGATCAGCTCCCCTCCTGACCTCTTTTCCACACTCTGCTGGAACAATCTGCGAAAAATGAAACCCAGGTTCTTTTCGTGACCCGTGTGGTGCTGTGCAGAGTCTGGGTGCACACCTGCCTCTTCCTGGCCCCGCCCCTCCCTGCCGGCTCTCCCTGTCCTCTCACTGGTCTTGCTCAGGTGTCACCTCTTTTTGTGTCACTGTGGCTGACCGTCCCCAGGGCTGCCCTCTGCTGCTCTCTGCCCAGTGCCCCGGGATTCTTCCACACCCAGGATCCCATCTTTCTGACACTGTCTGGATGTACTTGCTCACTGTGGGTTACGTTTCCCTGGATTGCGTCTCCAGGAGAGCCAGGAGGTCCTATCCCTGGTGCCAACACAGTGCCTGACACGGGTAGGCACCCAACAAATGTCTGTAGCATAATTTAATGACAGCTGAGCGTCTGCCCAGAAATGTAATTGCTGCGTCAAAGGACACGCGTGCTTCACGCTGGCAAGCGTAAAGCTCCACGGCCCTTCGAGAAAGTTAAGTGCAGGGCAGGGATGCAGAGCCGTGCAGCAGAGAGGCACTGGCTGGGCCAAGCTGCCTGGGAGGTGGGTCCCGGCCTGGCACCGCCTGTTTTGTTAGCTGTGTGAACTCAGGAAGCTACTTGATCTCTCGGGGCTCATTTTCTTCACCTGCAAAGCAGGGTCACGATGCGACCCAAGCTTTTGAGTTGCAGTGAGGATGACGTAGGCAGTTGTGGGCAGCCGTGGACACCACGCCTGGCCGCGCTGTGTGGCACGAGGGCCTGCGTGTGGTTGTCCCCCCTCCTGCAGTGACCCTGGCTCCGTGCACTCAGCAGTGCTGGGTTCTATCGCTGTTTTCACATTTCATAATTGATAGTATTTTAGTTTTCCCAAGCATGGGGCCCCAGTGAGGAGGCTGCAGGCATCAACCCGGGCTGTGCAGCTTCCATACGGCTCACCCCCAGGCCCAGGAGCTGAGGCCTGTGAGCTGCTCACTGGGGGATAGAAACGGTTTCCCGGCTTTCTCGAGCCCCCAGGAGGCTGCAGGAGCTGAGCGCTGACCCCACACAGGCTGCTGTCGGGATGTGTGGCCAGGCCCAGGGGAGCCTGTGGGGCCGCCCTGCACTCACGGGCTCCCGAGACAAAGGTCATCAGTGAGCCCCCGGGAGGATCCCGGGCCCTGCGGGATGCGCCAATCCTCCGTGATCCCAAGTGTGCTTGCTCTGTGGCGACCACTGCTCTCTGTTTTGCGTCTGTTTCATGAGCTTCTGCTCCTACGTTGCTTTCCTTCCTTCTTGTTTCTTTAATCTACTCTGCTGCTCGTTCCCAAATGTCTTGTGTTGAATACAGTCATTTATGTTCAGAAATTTTTCTTTCTTTTTAAAGCACTCTTAAAGAATTCCTTCATCTCTAAGTGAAGGTCCGCTTGGCCATGTCTTACGGTTTTTCACTGAGATACTTATACTGTCATTTATTGCTAAAATGCTTGTCATTGGCTTGGGACTTCTTTTTAAAATCTTAAATCATTTAGGAGTGCAATGATTTTTCCAAATAGGCAGATGGATGGATGGCCACACATATTGATATAAACTACCTTTTTATTCCACTGTGGTCACAGAACATGCTCTATTTGATATTCTTTGCAATCTGTGACCAAACTGTGGCGAAATTTTGTAGATATACCACAGGCTTTTCCTAAGGACATAGTTCTCCATTTTTAGGTGCAGGACCTCTCTCTCAGTGTATCTATCCATCTATCATTTCTTTTTTTTTTTTTTTTTAAACATCTTTATTGGGGTATAGTTGCTTTACAATGGTGTGTTAGTTTCTGCTTTATAACAAAGTGAATCAGTTATACATATACATATGTTCCCATATCTCTTCCCTCTTTATCCATCTATCATTTCTAACTCAAGCTTAGTATTGTTGCCTCAAGAAGAGCCTGGCTCTGGACCCTCCTTACGTGGAGCCTTTTGGTCCCATTTATCCAGCAGGGGCTGGATGCTCACGCAGTCCCCACCCACCCAGCCCCCAACAACCCACCACCCTCCCATCTGTTCGCCCACCCACTGGAGGAGCAGGGGCTGGGAGACCACCTGGCTACTGCAGAGAGGGTGTGGGAGAGGGAGGGGCACCTGCTAACGGCTCTGGCAGCAGCTGGCTCACCTGTCTGGTGACACCGGGCAATGGTTGCTTGGGTGAAGTCCTTGATTTTCTTGTACTTCTGCAAAAAACTCTCCAAAAACTGGGCAGCTTCCTGAACGGGAACTCCAAGGCAAGCAGCAAGCCGCTCCTTCCCTGTGTGAGTAGAAGCATGATCAGAGGCCAGCCTCTCACCCAGCGGGTTCCAAGGACACGAGCTACCAGGCAGTGACCACCACACGTGGAAGTGAGCCCACAGAAGGGATCTTGGAAGACTCGGTGCGTCAAGGCCCAACTGGCACCACTGGTCTCTTCTGATTGGTCAGGATGGTGTTGGCTTTGGCTTTACAGACCAAGTGTTCGGTGCCAGCCAGTCTGGACGGGAGCCTGTTAAACATTTATTTATTCAACAATGTTGACTGAGGGCCTGGCAGGTGCTGCAGGTGAAGCCCTGGTGAAGGAGCTGTAGTCCCTGCTTGCAGCCTGTCCAGAAGGGAGCCTGTTTCCAGAACTGGGGGAGGCTGGAGAGGGCCGGCAAATAAAAGAGGAAGGGAAGTTTTCAGTGCCAAAATACGAGGAGCTCCCATCCTTGGAATGTTTTTTTGAGACAAAAACTTTTGGTACAGACCAATATTTGGTTCCTAGAGGACGCAGGTGTTCTGGAGAAGCTTCTTATAGCAAGATCTCTGGTCAGGATGACACCCGAGTTCCAGGATGGCACCCCGAGTTCCAGGAAACACCCGAGTTCCAGGATGACACCCCAAGTTCCAGGATGGCACCCAAGTTCTAGGATGACACTTAAGCTCTAGGCCGGCACCCCGAGTTCTAGGACAGCACCCCGAGTTCCAGGACGACACGCGAGTTGCAATCGACTCCAGATCCCAGGAAACCACTTGTTCGCTTTATATCAGTGCAGATTTTCTTTTCATTATTTTTTGTGGTAAAATATATATAACACAAAGTATGCCATACTGTAAATTAATTTTGTGTTCCAGAATTTTGTATGAATGGTGTAATAAATTATTCACTATAAATACTCCTTTGTATCTGGCTGTCTTCTTTCATTTGCCATAATGTTTTGAGGTTCATCCATGTTGACAGCTGTATCAATAGTCTGTTGCTTTTTTCAAAATTGAAGTGTAGTTGATTTGTAACATTGCGTTCGTTTCAGGTGTACAGCAAAGGGACTCAGTTACACACATCTCTTTTCTTGAGCATGGACCGGGTTACCCTCTTTCTTCATACGTTTTGTATTCTGGCTATTGTATTATAAATGATATGTTGTAGACACTCTAGATTCTGTTATGTTTCTCTCAGCAGTGCTGATTTAGAAAAAAAAAAACAAAACAAAACTTCAAACTTTGTCCCCCTGCAGTCAGCAGCAGCTGAAAGCGTGCATCAGGCCTTTCAGCAGTAGCTGGGCTGTTTGAAGTCTGCCCTTTTCACACACAGTCAGGGGTCAGCCAGAGATCTGGGCAGAGCTCAAGCCCAGAATTCGGGGTTCTCCTTTGACTCTCCTCTTTCTGAGATTTTTCCCTTCACTTTCCAGATTCACTGGCTGCCCTGACCTCTTTCCTCTGCCTTTTATTTTCCCCAATTAATTAATTAATTTTTATTTTTGGCTACTTTCGGTCTTTGTTGCTGCGCGCAGGCTTTCTCTAGTTGTGGCGAGCGGGGGGCTACTCTTTATTGTGGTGCGTGGGCTTCTCATTGCACTGGCTTCTCTTGTTGTAGAGCATGGGCTCTAGGTGCATGGGCTTCAGTAGTTGTGGCATGTGGGCTCAGTAGTTGTGTCGCACAGGCTTAGTTGCTCCGTGGTATGTGGGATCTTCCTGGACCAGGGCTTGAACCCATGTCCCCTGCATTGTCAGGTGGATTCTTAACCACTGTGCCACCAAGGAAGCCCCTGCCCTCTGCTTCTTGAAGCCAGTAAGACCCTGGATTTCTGTCGGAGTTTTAGCCACACACAACACAGACAGAGGCTTGCCTTCAGGTGAAGAGCTACAAAACGGCAAACTCACCCTGTGCTATTCCTTCCTTCCAAGTGTTAACCCACCTCCAATTTCTGTCTGCTTTTGGTCACTTTTCAGTACCTTTAGGTAGTTGTTTATTATACTTTAGCATACTTTCTAGTTGATATCTGTGGGAGGGTGGTCTGATCGGAGTGCCATGGCCACTGCCGGAAGTCACATTTCTCCTTCTGTGTCTACGGCTGAGAAGGAATTCCTTTCCCTTCCTCTGTAGAGCTGTTGGGATATCCCAAGGTCTCTGCACAGGAAGAAAGCCTGCTTCTGAGAGAAGCCGGTGATGTGGCAACTCTGAGAGAAGCAGAGATGGGCTGAGCCGGAGACTGAGGGTCTGGTCACTTCTCCAGGCCCTGGTCCTTATTCCCCATGCCCTTGCCGGGGGGTCTGTCACACTCTAAGGCCACCGTGCCCCTGCCCCCCAAGTAGGACAATGTTTGGCTCTGTGAGGGCTTCTGTTCCGTGCTTCGTGTTCATGGGTCCCCACTTCCGACACAACTTCCCTTCACACTTTGATTCAACTGATCAGGTTCCTGCTGTTTCAGTTGTGAAAATGCAGGCCTGTCTCCGCAGGTGCACCCCTGGGAGCACGGATCCCCTTGGCGGGAGCGCGAGGTACCCCACCTCATAGGTGCCACGTGAACATACAGTTTGGCTTTCCCCACAGAGGGCTAATTGCCTCGTGTGTGTGTGTGTGTGTGTGTGTGTGTGTGTGTGTGGTGCAATTTTAAGTTTAGGAAGGAAATCTTCACTCCCTTTCCTCCACGTGCTCTTTGCCCCATGCTGAACTATAACAGCTTCTCACTCTTGTTTACAGCTCCAGGGCCTCGTGAGAGCCTGGCACTCATGGGCCTCCAGGGATGCTGGCACAGGCCTGACCAGCTCCTGCACATCCTTTAAAACTCAGCCCGGCCTGGTGAGGGGCCTCCCCTGGGCCCAGCAGTCATGCTGGACATTGCCGATCACTCAGTGCCATCCCCGCAGGCCTGCTCGTGTGTCTCATCGTACAAGCGTCGGCCCCTCGGAGCAGGAGGCCTGGAGCCCGGCACTCGGCACGCCCTGGCGACGGGACGTGGAGTGAGCTTAAGATGCGCAGCGAGGAGAATCAAGGGTCACGCTGACTCTAAGAGTAGCAGGAGCTCAGGGCAGGACGGGAGGAGCAGGGGTTTCTGCTGCCAGCGGGCCTGGTGGGGCACAGTGCTGGGCAGGCGGCTGTGTCCAGTGGGCTGAGGGCAGCGGTGAGCCCCGGGCCTGTGCTCCGGGCCGAGGCCTGCAGGCGGGCAGGCACTCCCATTTCGGGGGGGACAGGTCTCTGGTGGCAGAGGGCTGGCGGCTCCCAAGCCCTGGGGAGAGGGGCTGAGGCAGGCGTGGGGATCAGGCTGCCCGCGGGCTGGGGGTACGTCTTCTCGCTTGTCCCGGTCCTGCTCTCCCTCTACGGCCTTTTGTCATCCTCACAATGACCACGACCCCGAAGCCAGGCTGGGGCCATGTGCCCCCAGCACCCAGAGCAGCCGCTTCCAGACCCCTCGTGTTTAGGTGAAATCACAGCATTGCAACCCACAGGAGCCAGGCGGTTGAAGGCTTCTCTGCTGAGTTTCCAAAGGGCCCCAGCAGCCCAGGACGCCGGCCCTTCAGGAGATGAAGGCCCCACTTCACGCACGAGGCAGACGCAGCCCGACAGGTGCACGGAAGCCCGGCTGTCAGGTGGCGACGGGAGCGGCAGACACGAGGCCCGGGGTGGGAACCCTGTCAGCGTGAGGGCTCAAAGCAGCGGCTAATAACTCATTGCTTATTTACAAAGTGGAGCTCTTTTCTTCCCCAGAAAATAACAAAGTGAATACCCTAGAAGGTGCCAGACCGACAGAAGCAAAGACTGGCCCTGGGTGCACTGGGTAGCGGGGGCAGCGGGGGAGGCCTGCCAGCCAGAGACTGGAGCTGAAGCGCCCCTGCCCGAGTCCCGGCTGAGACCACAGCCCTGGCAGGTTTGAAGCGGTTCCAGACTCGTCATAAGCAGGTCGGTCACTCACGGTCCGGGAAGAGGCGCTTTGGAAGCAGGTCACACGGCACCGCAGTCACACTGGAGAAGCCCGAGGTGGCTCCTACCTGTAGCTGACTACACGTTTGCTCAGGGTTTTGCGCTGGCAGCTCTTCCCTGAACGGACACAGGGCTCCTACGGCAGGGAGGGACCCTCTTCTCCGTGTCTTTACACAAGCCCTGCTCCTCAAAGTGGAACTGATCCAGGAGGGGCCTACACAGGCCTGGCCGCCAGGCCACAGCCTCTCCTGACCCCCTCCCTCAACTCCCGAGGGGCATCAGGCCCACTGATGCAGCAAGACCTAGAGGGAGAAAGAATTTAAAAAGCCCAGAGAGCCCACGGTCAGGAAGGGAGAGGAAAGGGTGGGAGAGGGGAGGGGAGCAGGTTGCTCTGCCTTGGGTCCTGGGGCTGGAAAAGGGGAGGGGAATAGGGTGACGACAAGGGCTCCTGGAGCATCTCAAAGCACAGGAGTGGCCCCCAGCAGGTGGTGTGATGTGGGGTTGGGGAAGGCTTTGGTCGGCCCTCACTTCTGCACGTCTACTCTCCGTGCAAAGGTTGCTGGGAGCCCCGAGGGTTAAGGGCGTGAGTGGTCTGACTGGTGTCTGGTGCATCACAAATACCATCGACATGTGTGTCAACAGCGGCACGCAGGGACGCACAAAATGAGTTCCACGGGCTGAGAGTGATTTCTGTAAGCCACAGCCACATTTCAATGCAGGTACACAACCAGAGCCACCTCCGTCTGGCCTACAGGTGACGCCGAGGCCTCAGGCCCACCCACAGCCTACCTGCTCCATAGACCACCGAGTACACAACCTTCTTGGTCTGCTCCCTGTCTGCGCGCGTCACGCGTTCTGGGGAAACGTCCTTCCTACGTGGAAAGATGGCATGTTGTCAGGCACGTTGGCACCTGTCTGAAGAGGTCCTCAAGGGTCCAAACCACCCGCATCCCCTCACACCCCAAGAACCACTTCAAGGTCAGGCCTGTAGTACGGTAGGGGAGACAGTCAGCATCTAAAGCGTCCGTGTCAGCCGCCAGCCAGGTTCTGGGGTATCCACACCCCAAACCCAAAAAGTGGCTCCACCACCGGAGTACCAGGCAGACAGGAGGAGGCCTGGGGCCTGGGGCCTGCCTGTGGGTGCTGCAGTAGTGGCTGCTTCTGGGCCTCCTGCAGGATTGGATAAGCAGCCTGTGCCTTGCCTCCTACAGAAGGAAGGGCCCTGTCCTGGCGTTCAGACAGAATAAGAACCAACTCCACATCCGGCAGCGTGTAATCGTGCCACTCTCCAAAGATTAAAGCTGAGCCTGAGAAGCACAGGGGCCGGTGGGCACCCAGGGCCCCTCCTCCTTGCTAGGCCATCCTCGCCTAGCCGTGCGCACACCCCAAGTCTCCCTGATGGAGTGAGCACGTCAGATCAGCAGAGACAGAGAGAGAGAAAAGGAAGAAAAAGGAGCCTGTCCAACCTCTGTGGGCAGCCCTGTGCTGGGCCCTCCTGCAGGGCTGACCTCCACTCGTGGCCACGGGGTGAAGCTTAGGATCTGTGCAGGGATTTGGGGTGTATGGGCTGCCCCGGGCCTGCATGCGGCTTCTAGATTTCCCGATATGCACGGGGCTTTGAATGCCCTATTTCTCAAAGACCCTCTCTCCCCAGCTTTTCCTCCCAAGCTTTCAGGCTCTGTTATTTGCCTCGACTGAGGTCTTTTGTGGTTGACCTTAGGAAGTTTTCCAGCGCGGCCACTTTTCTGACTGGAGACAGTTCCGAGATGGGGAAACAATGCCCGTGTCAGTCCTTCGGGCAGCCCCCAGACGAGTTAGAACAGACAAACACTATTCTTTGCGAATAAGGTCTGTGCCTGGAAGCAGGGACAGGGTCCCACTCTGGGCAGGAGGCTGCTGAGTCGTGGGAGTGGTGTGGGCCGAATGAAAACACCACAGAGCCCTCCTGTTTTCAGTTGCTTTTTTCTTGATTCAGAACTTGCTTGGTTGCTGTGAACTGCTGACTGTTTCTCAGCGTTCTGGCAAAGTTGGTTCTAACAGTTTTTGCTTGATTTGTGGATGCTTCTGTTGGTGGACAGGCCCTCAGAGCTGCCGGCTTCACCATTCTCATTGATGTCCTAGAGTTCATTCATTTTACCACCTGATTTTAAAGTACTGTTGCATTTCTTTTCGTCCTGTTCCTTCTGTGTTAAGCTATTTTGCCCACGTTTTAAAATCCCACCCTTGAACTTGGTATTGTCAACAGCTGTATTTAGATAAGAAGCAAAACACCAAAATGCACCCAAGCCCAGAACAAATGTGTGTCAACCCCTATGTCACCAGCCACCCTTGGTCCTCACTGAACTCCCTTTATTTTGGAAATCCCACAGGCACTCCAAACCTGCTCCAGGAAAGACATTGCTGAAAAGCTTACGTAAGACTGGCTTCCCCGTTACCTGCTCAGGGCCACCTGCAGTGACAGCAGATGAGGGCTTGGCCCAAACAAATGGGTCTGGCGACACTGCAGGGAGGGGACAAGGGAAGCATTTTGGAGCAGGTGCCCCTCAACCAAACCACACTAGGGACCCCCTTAGCTCTATCCGGGGCTGGAAAGTTGTCTGAGGAAGCAGCATTAACTCTCCTGGGACTTGCTTCTTCCCAGAACCAAAGTGTGACAGAATGAATAGATGCTAGGGACATATATCGGACATCATGTTCCAATAACAGAGAACATGCTTTCTCCTTGAGCACATGGGGCACACGCACAATAACACATCATGCACCAGGGCACACAAAAAACCTCAAAAGGCCGCACATAGTAGGAATATTAAAATAACACTCTGATCACAGTATAAGAAAACTAGAAATTAAAGACAAAAACAAAATCCCCAAAGCCCATCTAGCTAGAAATAAATCAGAAAACACTTCTATCAGTCAACTTTTGATTGAAGAGAAATATAAACAGAAATCACATAGTTTCTAATGAAAACACCCTATGTCAGAACCAATGGATTACTAAAACAGTGAGGAAATTTCATAACCCTAAATGCCTATATTAATCAAAATGACAGAATAAAACTATATGAATTAAATAAACACAAGGAAAAAACCAAGAAAGTCAAAAGAATACACAAGGAGTGAAATAATAAAGCTAGAAAAAAGATGGGAGCAGAAATTAATGAGGAAAAGAAATTAAGTAGAGAACAGCAAAACAGATCATTAGTAAATAAAAATCCTGGTTCTTACAGAAAATAAATAAACCATTAGCTAGCTTAATCAAAAGGGCAAAAACACAGATATACAAAATAAGCAACAACGGGGGAAAGTAGCAGCAGATATGTAGGAAGTTAAAAAAAAAAACCTTAAAAGTTATTTTGCACAATGCTATATAAGTACATTTTAAAACCCAGGTGAAACGGACAATTTCTTAAGAAAACACAGTTATAAAAACTAACTCCAGTAGAGATGAAAGTTAAACAGACCAATGTCTATAGAAGAAATAGAGAAAATTATTAAGGAACTATCCCACAAAAACACCAGGCTCAGATGGTTTCAAAGGAGAATTCTATCAAACCTTAGAGACCAGAGAGTCCCCACGCTGTGCAAACTGTTGCAGAGTGCAGAAGATGAACAAAAACTTCCAAATTAATTTTATTAAGAAAGTATAACCAAAACATGATAAAGATAGCATAAAAAAGGAAAATTATAGACTTATACTGCCTATGAATATTGATTTTCTTTAAAAATCTTAAAATTTATTCAAAATATAAAATTTATGAATATTGATTGATGTAATAATCTTAAATAGAATATTTGCAAACAGAGTCCAACTCCACATTAAGAAAATAGCACCTCACAGCCAAGCAGAGTTTATACCAGGAAAGCAAGGCTGGTTCAATGTTAGGAAGTCCATTAATATAATTCACCACATGAATACGACTAAGGAGAAAACTACATGATCATCTACATTGTTGCTGAAAAAAACCCCGTGACAAAATCCAACTCCAATCCAATCCAATCCTACTCCCAGTAAAAACTCTTGAGAAAACAGGAATAGCTGGATACTTCCTTAAACTTACAAAGCAATACACCTCACTCCTAAAGCTAGCTTCTTATCATGGGAAGCTCCACGGCAAGGATGCCCACTACCTCCACTATTTAACATTGTTCTGAAAGTATAGTTGATCCTCAAAGAACACAGGTTTCAACTCTGTGAGTCCACTTATATGTATATTTTTTTCAATAAATAGACTGAAAAGTTTTTTGGAGATTTGCAACAATTAGAAAAAACTCAGAGATGAACTTTGTAGTCTGAATATTGAAAAATATTAAGAAAAGGTTAGGTGTGTCATGAATGCATAAAAGACATGTAGATAATAATTTAGTTTATCATTTACTACCATAAAATGGACACAAATCTATTATAAAATGTTAAAATTTATCAAAACTTAAGCACACAAACACAGAACGTACACGGGGCCGTTGACAGACAAACGTGAAGCTGCAGTATGAAATCATCCCTGTGTGAATGAACTGCAGTGTGCCCTGTGCTGTCGTTAACGATTTCCTAGTCTCCTCCTGTTGCTACTGTGCTGAGCTCAAGTGTTTCAAGTGTCCACTTAAAATGCCCCGTGACGCTGGTCATTTCCATGTGGGGAGTTTGTCTCTCCAGTAAATCGGGAATTGCAGTAAGAAGTGATCTCTCATGGTCCTCACACATTTTTCATCGTGTTTAGTGCAGTATCGTAAACCTTCAGTAACACCATGGAGCCCATACGAAGTGCCACTAGTGCTGCTGGAAATGCTCCCAAGAAGCAGAGAAAAGTCGTGACGTTATGAGAAAAAGTTGAATTGCATGATATGTACAGTAGATCGAGGTCTGCAGCTGTGGTTGCCGCCATTTCAAGATAACTGAATTCAGCGTAAGGACCATTGTAAGAAAAGGAAATTCGTGAAGCCGTCGCTGCAGCTATGCCAGCAGGTGTTTTGCAAAATACCTCTTTATCTTGTATTGCAAATGCACCTTTTATGTGGGTGCAGGATTGATATAGACTCTAATATGATTCGAGAAAAAGTGAAGTCATTACATGACAACTTAAAGCAAAAGGAAGGTGAAGGATCTAAAGCTGGAGAATTTAATGCCAGCAAAGGGTGGTTTAATAATTTTAGTAAAAGGATTGGCTTTACACACGTAAAGATAACAGGAGAAGCAGCTTCTGCTGACCAAGGGCCAGCAGACGAGGTCCTAGACGCTGCTAAGAAAATCACTGGGGAGAAAGGATATCTGCCTGAACAGGTTTGTAATGCAGATGGAAATGCCTTATTCTGGAAAAAGGTGCCACAAAGGGCACTCACCGGTAAGGAAGAAGTGAACAGCAGGATTTAGGGCAGGAAGGGAAGGGCTGACTCCTGTTTGGTACCAGTGCAGTCAGGCTTATGGTCAGGACCGCCCTCCACCTATCAATCTGCTGACCCCCGAGCCTTAAAGGGAGACGATGAACAGCAGCTGTCAGGCTTTTGATTGGACAACAAGGCCTGGACAGTGAGAGCCCTTTTTCTGGATTGGTTCCATCAATGCTTTGTCCCTGAAGTTAGGAAGTATCTTGCCAAGAAGGGACTGCCTTTAAATTTCTTTTGATACTGGGCAATGCCCTCCTGGCCACCCAGAACTCCATGGGTGCAGCCCCGAAGGTGTCAAAGTGGCCTACTTGCCCCCGGACACAACGTCTCTATTTAGCTTCTAGATCAGGGGCCATAAGGACCTTTGAGGCTCATTATACACGGTGCTCTACAGAAAGGATCGTCAATGCTATGGAAGGGAACCCTGATAGAGACAACATCATGACAGCCTGGAAGGGTTACACCATTGAAGATGCCATCATTGTTACAGAAA